AATTGGATGATGAAGAAAAAATAATAAAATCAAAAGCAGATGCTTATAATAAATTACTTCAAACAGATGATAATCGATTAAATGAAGATGGTGAGTTTATATTTATATAGAAAGAAAAACAAGAATTTTTATTATTAATTTTAGTTCGTACTGATATTAATGCTGTTATTGGTGAAGTTAATTTATTATTAAAAGGTAAACTTAAACAATTTCGTGGTTTATGCGAAAGAAATGTGGTATGTTAATCTTAAATTTGTTTGATTATTTTATTGTAATAATAATTTTCTTTAGGCAAAATCTAATACTGGTGGACCAATACCACTTGACAGTGATCTTGAAGGTTTTTGGGATATAACATATCCACTTATTGATAAAGTTAAAGAGAAATTTGCTAAACTTGATGTACGCAAAGCTAAACAATGGGCTCCGATTGAAGAATATGATCCGAATGATGGTATTTTATTTTTATTTTATAAATATATATATATTGAGTTTAAAATTATTATTATTATTTATTACGTAGTTAATAATCGTCCTCGTGTAATCGATGATCGTCTTAAACAACTGCAACCTCAACAAAACAAATCATCGAAAATTCCGACAACAAAAGCAGGAAATGATGATTTAAAAAAATTAATTCAAGAACGACGAAAAGCAGCTGCTAATGCAACAAATCAAAATCATGATATTGAAATATTCGTTGCACATAAATAAATTCAAAATAAAAAGAAAAACTTTTTCGCTTATTGTGCAATATATACATATATATATCATTATCTTTTCAAAAAAAGACAAATTTTACTCATGTGTGCTTGTGTTTGTGTGCGTTTGTCTGTCTCTTTTATTTTTCTATTTGTTCTACAAACAATGAAAATAAAAAAAAAAGCTTAATTAATACCTTTAACTAACATTATACGATTTGTTTTTTAAGAAAAAAAAAACAAGGACATAACTAAGTGGTTACTATGAGAATAAATTTTTTTTCTTGACATTCACTATAATAAAATAAAGAAAATTGCTTTTTCTACGTAGTTTTTTTTTTCTTGTTTTGTAGTTAATTGAGTAAAATCATGAAACAATCTAATACTTCATAATCTCAAATAAATTGTTGTTACAACTCTTCGAAAAAATTTTTCTCATGATAATAATAATAATAATAATAATAATCATGACTTCTTTATTTAATAATTAAGTCGAATTCTAAAAGAAGGCCTTCAAATAGTCTATTACGCATGTCAACTAATAAAAACTTCTGATATTGATTAATGGTTCCGGAGGTATTGCTGAAAATGAGAAAATCCCATCATTTTATTCATATATGAGTGTAGTTATATTTACGATGGTAAGCTCTTTTTTGTACCATTATTATTCCATCGATCAAAGAACTTCAGAAGATTAATTATTTCATGTCTAAACTATGCATTCACACCATGTGGGGGTCATTCTGATATGTGTTTTCGACAAATCAAAAGGATTTTTGTTAATGCCCTTTCTCTTTTTTGCTAATTTTTTGCAAGCTCGCCGTATGTGTTTTCTCTTTCATCAAAACAATAGTTACAAGAAACCTAGTACAATGTTTACCACTATTGTCATATATCTATTTCTCAAATGCTAGAGATTGTCGATGTATGTCTTTTTCTCGTTATAAATAAACATTAGTAATGGAAGATTATGCCTTCATTCTTTTATTAGAATAACTGGTGTACAACAATCGAATCATTAGTTTCTTGCTCTTCGCAGTAGCTGATCTTTCTTTTCTCTGTTCATATATCTGTACCAGTAAGAATAACTTTCTCGTTCACATACTATTACTACAATATTTGAATAGAAATACATATCTTGTATATCGAATTTTTGATCTATTATCTCAGTTTTATCAATGTTCAGTTTATTTATTGTAATTATTCTTTGTCAGGTAATTTTGATTCTATTTTGAAGCTATTTTGAATATAATTTTTATTATTTTTGGCCTATATACTTACAAATAATCATAGGTTCATATAAAGATAGCATAGAAAGCATTATCTTCTAATTTTTCATGTTTTCATAATGTGTAATTGTATTAATAAATAAAGAATGAATTGTTTATATAACATGTCGTTGGGCGATTCCAATTCTTTTATTTATATGTTTTGATGTTGTAATCAAACAGCTTAATCTTATATGTTTAGCTCGAAGCCTATGACGATATACAAACTTGACAATTATCTTTGTTTGTATGTTATAGGGAATATCGATAAATGCTTTCACTGAAGCCAAATCTCGTGTAAGTTGAAAGAAAATAAACATTGTTAAAACTTGTTGTTTTTTCTTGTCTATTAGACGTATCTCCCTTCATGTCGATGTGAGAAGGTATAAGTTAATAAAAAACAAAACAAAACAAAACATTTCAATTATTTCATTTTAAGGGTGAACGTGGTGAAAAAGGTGATTCAGGTATTTGCCCAGAAAGTAAGATCAATTAATATCTCATTCAATTTTTGAAATAGTTGATCTATAGCTTGTATTTCGAGAGAAAATTCACATACAAATGATTGTCTTGGCTCTCACATACAGTTACAACATCTTGCTCAATCAATTCGTCAATTAATAATCGATACAAAAGTATAATAACTTTCCATATGTGAAAATAATAACATAACTTTATTACAGCAAATAGCCAATCAAAATGCTCGACAGACTTCTTGTACATGTTTTGCATCATCATCAATAACAATAACAACCACAGTGTCAACAAGATTAAATCAATTTCCTATTGACTATAATATGGTATAAATAATAAAAAAAGATACAAGCAAACTATGATGTTTATGATTGTATTTTAGTACATGCGATTGAAAGGAGACAAAGGTGATAAAGGTGATGCTGGTACATCTTGTATATCAAACTGTCAACAATCGACACAAGTTTGCATTATTTCAGTTTGATTAATGAAATAATTATCTATTTTATAGTTAAATATACGAGTATTTCCGACAATAAAAGCAGCAATGGATGCATATCATGATTATCCGGATCATACATATGTTCATATTGTTAATGAACATGGTCGTTTACAAAGTGTGCTTATTCGAATTCATCGAAGATTAGTACCATTAGGATTAGAGACTGAAGTATAACGTTTTAAATAAGTTTACTTAATTTAGTTATTTACTTTCTAGCATGCTATTCCTTTACGAGAACAAGTATTACCAACAACAGTATCTATTCCGAAACCAGTAGGAATTCGTTTTCTTTTTTTGTAAATATAAAACTATGGAGCATTATTGAAATTTTTCTAGAAATGCACAATTACACTTCCATGTTCAAGAGTAAGTATTTCCATTTATTGTTCAACATAGGAGAAAAATTCTTCAATTGCTCAATCACTTTGAGCCGGAACTATGTGCATTCTGTAGATCCATGTGAATCATGAATATTTTGAAAATAGTTGTCGTATTTAGCTTATTGCTCCAGAGATACTGCACTAGTACGTATTGTTTCAGTAGATACCATGATAACAAAAAAATGGATTTTTCAATTTACACTTGAAACTTTGCATAGAGACAGGTCTTAATGAGAATAGGTTTTTCTTGTACATGTTTCAAATGTTGTTGCTATTGCTCTCCTAAGATACAATTGCAGTAATAATGTATCTGTTACATCATTCATATATATCAGCAGATTTGATGTCCTTATTTCAAGATAGAAGCAAATCAAAAAATCTAAAACTATTCTCGTAACGGCCGGTGTCAATGTAAATTTTCAACTCAAAACTCGAAAAATCAGTTTTTCTCTTACAACGACATTGGTTCAAAGAATACTGTAAAAGTTTAATATCTCCACAGCAATAAGCCAAGGACATGAATACTCTTTCGAGTATTCATAGCTCATTTGAATCTACATGATGCATATAACCGCTACTTCAAATCAATTGAAGGATATTTCTCATTAGATAATAAATGTATATAAATTTTAGCTTCACATATTTGCATTGGGACCTCATACACGTAGAATGTGTAGTCCAAATCGTCCAAATAAATTTTGTTCAAAACTATCTGATTATGATGGTCTATGTGAACGTGTCTCGGAACATCATCGTTTAAAAGGTTTTTATCGAGCATTTATGTCATCAAGTACACAATGGTTAGCAAATTTATTTGATGGTGTTTGTATGAATGCAAAAATTATTAATATGAATGTAAGTTTTTGTTGTTGACATCTTTTTTTTTGTTTCTTTAAATTTTTTATATTCATAAACTTCTTTTTTTAATTGTGAAGGGACAAATTTTGTTTGATACATTTGAAGAAATTTTTGAACGAAAACCACCCAAAAGTGTAATTTTGGATGTAAAAGGATGTAAACCAGAGTGAGTTTTGATGTTTTTATTAAAGACATTTTGAATATAAATCAATGCAGACAAATCGAGAAAATTCTTTTAATATTTAGTAAAGGTCATTGTGTCGGATCAATTTTTGTTCACTTATATCTTTAATACTAATGTTATTTGCATGTTCAAACATGTAAAAGATCAAGTATTTTGATCAATACTGATTGAGAAGCTTTTCATTAGTCAATCGTCTAGTTAAGTTCTGTCTCTATGAGAAAATTTTCTTTCGTATGAGTATTAACTCTTGTTACTGTTTAATTTTTTTTGTATGGTACTGTTCGTTTCGGTCATACTTCATTATCCATGTTGATCGTTCGAATATCTCTTGCTTCTATGTTTTATAGATTTGATTATTGGTGGCATGGTAGCCTTCCCAATGGTACAGCATCAAGCAATACTTGTAATTATGAAATATTTCTCTCTTTCTTAACTCATTTTTCTTTTTCTTTTTTAATTAGGCCTCGATTGGAGTCGTAAAAATTCAAGTATATCCGGTATTGCAAGTCGTTTACTAAATGGTATGCATGGTTTATTTCATCATGAATATATGTGGCCTTGTTCAATTAGTGATTCAAATATGGGAATTTTATGTATTGAAACAAATTGTGAGAAACGAAACTATTATAGACACTAAAAACGATTTGTACTTAAACGAAAAGGATTTATTAAACGTATTTGTGTTTGCATATGCCCAAATTGTCTTCTTTGATTTGGATGAAAAAGTGATGTTGTTGTCATATTTACTGATGGTAATACAACAGGTGGTGAACGAAATGGTGTAAAATGCCTTTGAATAATAGGTGGTTGTTGTAATGGAGAAAAATTTTGAAAATGATTTGTTGAACTTCGACTTCTATGACGTTGTTGTTGTTGTTTTTCAAAAGTTCGACATTCTGATTTTGTACGTTGGACACGTGGTTGTTGTTGTTCATGATGTGGATAGATATGATTTTCTGTTATTGTTGTTGGTTGATTAGGTTTTCGACGTTGTGAACGATGAATCTTTGAAGGTGATGGTGGTAGATGAAAATCTTTATGACGATGTTGAGCAAATTTTGATGAATGCATTGATTGAACAAATGGATTCATTGGACGTTGAAAACGTGGTGGTGTTGGTGGTGGAACTGAAAAATGATCATTCATCGGTGGCATATATGAACGTGAACGAGTTTTTGAAAATCCTGGTTGATTGAATTTCTTGATATGAAAAAGAAAACAAAACAATAGTTTTTATTTAATAGCAATTATATTTAAATACCCATTGAAAATTTGGATTTGTTGGTATAGTAAAAGGATTTTTCATCCGAGGATCATTATCTCTAGGAAAAAATCTTTGTTGAAAACGTGGTGGAACTGGTGTGGATGGATATTGACGTGCAAAACTTGATCTTGAAAGTCGTTGTGATAATTTTGGTTCTTCTCGATTATCGATATGTTGTCGACGATATTTCATTTTATTTTTATGACGTCGATGTGAACGTGCTGTTGATACTGATGATATTTGAGAAATTGATGGCGATATATTTTGTGCACGACGATGTTCACGAATTGATGATTGAGAATAATCTTCAAGTGTTGGTTGAGGTACAGATTCCATTGTTGGTGGTGATATTGGTGGAGTAATTATAGATGCTGTAGCTCGTTTTGTTTCAATATTTGCATTATAAACTTGTTGTTGATAAATTTTAGGTTCTTCGTCGGGTTCTTCAATGACAACAACACTAAAAATATCAATTTATTTTTTCTTGTCCAAAAAATAGTTTAAGGATACTGTCTTGCCCAAGTTACTGAAGAATGATTCATCAAAAACATTTGAAGTTTTTTGGACACGTACATATTGATGAACATAGCAAAAATTATCATACATTCAAAAGTCTCAGATGCTATTTTCTATGAAATACTGAAATCATAATGGTTCCAGTTTTCTCTGACATACTATGTTCGAACGGGCTAAAATTTTTCTTTTGGCACTAAACACTCTTTGTAGGTATAGATCTTATTTTTTATCGTTCGAATAGAAAAACCACAATATCGAAAGTACTCTTAAAGCCCATGTTCCTTTTTTTAAGAGCTACCAAGAATCAGCAGAACAATATTTTTGTACTCATCTCAAACATCGTATCACCTATATGAATAAAGCTTCAAGGCTATCGGATGTTCAAGGCTGGAGAAATGCGGAGTGTTTATGCAAATTTTTTCATGAAGCAATCGAATCCCAAAATGTACACCGTAGATAGATACGAATTCAGATTAGACAACGGTCAGATTTTGGTCACGAAATAACAGAACAATGTATTCTTAATGTCTTTCTCATGAGATTAATAATAAAAAATTGTAATTGAAAATCTTACCCTGGCTTTTTGTTATCTGTACAATTACTTTCATCTGTATTAGTACTATTCTGATCTGATGAACAATTATTATATGTTTTTTCGAAATTATGCCTTAAATTTCGAACAAATCTATTTAATTCCTTTTCGTTACTAAATTCTTGTTCAACAAATACACGTTGTTGATCACCATTTGGTCCAATATGAACCTTTGTAAATTGAATCTAAAGAAGAGACAAAAAAAACATAAATAAATAAATAAATAGAAGTAAACATTTCTATTACGGTTATACGATCATCCTTAGTTATAATTGGATCAGTCATAAAGTACGATGTTGATTTATCTCGAAAATGAAAAGCTGATGCTCGACGATTTTGCTGTTGCTGTTGTTGTTGAGCACGAGGCGTATTTTGTCTCCATCGTTGTTGTTCAAATTGTTGATTACTAGGATCACAGAATGGATGATTTCCTGTTGGTATTGAAGTAAAACCATGATTGAACATTGGAAAACGTTCAAAATCACGTGTAAAATTAAAATTATGTGTACTTTGATTGAGTATAGGACCATTAGGACGATACACGAATGGACGAGATGGCATAAAATGATTTGTTGGACCCCGATTATTAGGAAAAGCTTGTTGACGAGGATAAAATGGTTGCTGAAACATAATTTTTTTTTGCTTTTGATGATCGATATACTTCGTGTTCACTTTTTTTACTAAGAAGCTAGAGTACACATCATCGAGCAAAAATGGACACCTTCATTAATCATTTTGATGCGTATATACTATATATTCGGTCGTCGGGTTAATGGTTATGTGATGAAAGTGTCAGTATACAAACGAATATCTTCAACAGTATGTGTGTGTGTCTTATTCAATTTTTTTTTTGCTTTCTGTCTCTCTCTTTCTTTTAACCGTCGTAAGTAGGTTGACATCAGTGTCGATTTGTTTTCTATTTCGGGTTTCATATGAGAATGTTGAACAAAAAATTTGTCATGCACGACTGAACACCACATACATATGGATATGTAGAGAAAAAAGCAAAGACAAACCATTCACTATCATCATTATGATAATCATCACATTGGTAAAATGAAGCAGTATGAAAAAAGTAATACGAGAAAAAAATGTTCATTTGATGATGTGTAAAAGGAAAAGAATGTGTCAAATAAAATACAATCAAATACGAATAGCTCATGATAACCAGTCCATTTTGTACTTGACTTGTATGTGCTAGTAGAAAAAAAAAACCTGTTGCGACTTTGATCACATTTATCTACATTATAAATAATACTACCTTGACGATTCGAATGAATAGATTTCAATGATCATCTGATAATTTCAATCGTTTCTTTCTTTATTAGAAGGACAGAAATTTGTTATGATTACCAATTAGATTCGATCTATGATTGCTACTAATCCTGTCATATAAACAAAGCATTTATTGCGTTCTATCATTTGAAAGGTTGTTCTATTTCACTTTCGAAATGAGAAGAATAATCGTACAACTTATGGAAAGAAAATACAGATTAATTTACAATTATTTTCATGATAATAAGATAAAAAGACATGATTGACCTACAGCACCATTGGTGGACTTTGGCCGCAAGTCATTATCTTATTGATTTGTTGCTGATAGACTTAAGATAGAACAACTTGAATAAAACATATATACGAATTACATGCCTATCTGAGCCGTTGTATACACATCGTTCAAACTATACATATGTATTTATTTGAAGATTTATCAATATTTGAAAATTTTGAAATGGCATATATGAATTTTCATGAGTTTATATAAATCATACAAATCTCATCAATTGCTTTGAAACGACTATCATCAAACAACATTTATTTTGCATTAAAAACCAAGTTTTCCTTCACTTAAGTAACGAAAGAACTCATCTAACTGATAATCTCCGTTTGAGTACTCATAGTATAGATAAAAGTCGTAAAAGGGCTTCTGTCATTAGATCTTTCTCCTCGAGTTATTACCATATTACTGAACTTTCGGTCTATTATAGGATATCACAAGAAAAATCGTAACAAAGAGATTTGCCTTGAAAGTCGCTCTAACAATAGCTGTCATGATTTCTATAAAAGATCTTCAAAAATAATTCACTTATTAAGCATATGATTTTTTAAGAAGAAATCATCCATTTAAACTGACACTTTTAGGATACTATAAGGACCACGAGAGCCACTGTTATAGAGAATTTCAGGGCGACAATCCTTATTGCGATTTGTTTAAACGATAGACTGCAATCGGCTGAACGTTTCGTAAAATGATCATAATTCGCGAAGAAAGGTCTACTGACACGAATTCTTCCAAAATTTTTATCTATACTATGAACCCTATCTATGATCAATCAAACAGAGATTATCAAGCGAAAGAGTTCCTTCTTAAGCACAAATACTTAAGTTTTTTTTGGCAAGTGAAATATATTCAAAGTTTCATGTTTTACTTAATCTTTTTAAAATTTGTAAGTTATTAATATAATGTTACTTGAAACTACATAGTTTTATAATATTCGTCAAAATTAAATTGTAACAAATATTCAGTTCTTTATTGCCAACTAATCGATACTCTTTGTTTTTGCGTTCAATCTTTTATTTATATTAATACATCAAATTATCCAGTTCATTTCTAAATTAGCAACTTAGGATGAACATGCCTAATTTTCAAAATTTCGTTTCATATAATTACAGACAAATGTTGACTGCTTCTCATTTATGGGTAATAAGCTTAGCTTATCTCCTATTCAAACAGTATATGCAAAATATTTATACCATGACATTGTAACTAAACTGAGTAACAACCTCCATGATTAATGACAGTTTAATATTTCATAATAATTATCAAAAATTTCTTATGAATATGCATTTAATAGATATCAGAAAAGAAAATCGAAATATTCGATAGTGAAGATATGATCGTCTGTCCATCTAGGCAATTATTTATTTATTGGTTGAACCGTGACCAATCCACAATTTCAGATCAGTCGACACGATCGATGTTTTGAGAAATATTGGTTCTTTCTGTTTGCCTTCATCTGTTGTTTTTCTTCCTTTACACGGTACTTTTTTTTACCACATATTAAATTCACATAAAATGGCCCCACCAAAATTTTCTGATCTTAACAAACAAGTTTCTGATATCTTTAATAAAGGCTACTGTATGATATCTATTATTTTTAATTGAATATATAATTTATCTTAAATATTTTTCATAGTTTTTAATGTATTCAAACTTGATGTTAAAACTCGTACTGCTAATGGAGTTAATTTTAATGTTATTGGTGAACATAATACTGAAACATCAAAAACAGCTGGTAGTCTCGAAACAAAATACGTTGTTCCTGAATATGGTTTAACATTTTTGGAAAAATGGAATACAGATAATTTACTTAAATGTGAAATAACAGCTGATAATCGATTAGCTGAAGGATTTAAAATTGTATTTGATGCAAGTCTTACACCAAATACCGGGTAAAATAACAAATGTTTCATATATTTTGTTTCGTTTGATAAAAAAAAAACACCTTTATAGCAATAGCTACGAGAGAATTCATTTTGGTATGAAAACCCGTCCATTATCCTTAGATATTACATCCCAGAGGTATTTGTTTCGTTTAATATATTCTAAATGGATAAAAATAAAAAGTTAGTTTTATCTTCTCAACAACATATTTACAGCTACACTGCCAAACTTCAGATACGTGTGCGTACACAATTGAAAAAATTACATCTAACGGGATCTTATTCTCATTCGGGAAACAACCGATATTGGTAAAAATATTTTTATTTTGTTCTTTTTTTTTCTGGAAATAATATAATTAGAGAAAGTTACAAAAATAAAATGCATATCAATGTTATTAAAATGATTTATATTTGTATTTTTATTTTAGGAAAAAAACAGCTGAACTTCGTACAGCATATACACATGATCGAGCTCATGTTGAAACAAATGTTGTTTTCGATACTGCTGGTCCAATCCTTAATGGAGCTATTGTTTTGGGTCATCAAGGTTGGTTAGCTGGTTATCAATATGTTTTTAATACAGCACGATCATTATTAACAAAAAATAATTTTGCTGTTGGTTTCAAAGCTAAAGATTTTACTTTATATGCAAATATGTAAGTTCAAAATGCTCATCGTGAACGTGATCATGACATTTAAAATAATTTTTCAAAAAAAATACTAAATTAGGTAGCGTTTTCGGATATGAAAGAGTCAAAGACTTTGATAAGACTACTATGAATTTATTGAAAACAGGTAACGAACAGTATAGACATGGTTAGAGATATGCGGAACCAAGATTATTGACTTCAGTTCCAGCAAGTTCTTTTCTAATGGCTCCAGTCTCGGCCTCGATCTAGAAAAAATCATTTCAAAATTTATTCGTATTGTCCTATCTTTTCTTGATTTTTGATGTCGAACATATAACTATTTTAAATAAAAGACAACTAATATATACAAAACCATTTATGTATATGACTGTATCTGTTGTTTGTAAGTCTTCTGATCTTCTTTGTCAGCTATATTAATGAATCTTATGAAAAAAAGAAACAATAGGAGATTGTTATTATTATTCTATTAACATACTTTTATTGTCTTTCTTTTTTTGGTGTAGAATTTTTGCATTATGAAAAATTTTATTAAGTTAATATAGTTTGGGCCAATTTAAAAGAAATCTGTATTTGATAGATTACATTCTATGAAGATTATTGAAATTGAATCTATACAAACTGTTGACAGTCATGTTGCATGATTTTGTAAAAATAAATGGTTTTTGAATAAATCGGTGAAAAAATACACCAAAGTTTGGAAAAATAGTTGATTATGAAACATTTTTTCACCTTCTTAGAGTAATGAGAAAATTCTAAAACACTTTAGAAAGTGTTACTATATGAATGACATCAAAGACTTTTAGATTTCGATTCGAATACTTTATTTAGAGATTTTTCGGCTCTTTTGCCACTTCCCTTACAGATTTTAGCTATTGTGTGGTCAACCGTTATGATATACGAAGCCTTTCATACAATGTAACAGTCGATGATCGATAATAACAGCAACATATAGAGAATACTACCACTTTTCAAAACCTTCCTTAAAATTTATATAGCTGGAATAGATTTTTGAATGTTCTTAATAGCACAATTCTTGTACAAAACGCGTGAACGGATCAAGTTCTAATTTTCGGAAATAATAAATATCAGAGTTTCTAAGTTTACTGAAATGCACAGCAATATGTTGAAACCTATTTTAGAAATAATAAAGACATGCAACAGCTTATTTGTCAGTTAATTCAATGATTAGAATAATCATAAAAAAAAGTACAGAAAGAAAAATGGAAAGAAAAAAAAAAGAAACTAAATAAAGAGCGAATGGTGACAAGGCAAATAAAAATTGCGCTTCCGTAAGAATAATGGAAGAAAAAAAGTGCTGTTTAAAATACACAAAATAAACATAGGAGACTAATTCTTTGACGATCGATTAACCTTGAAAATCAATTAAGGTTTGGTAGAAATTTCTGCACTTTATGTAAATTATATTACTATAATGAAACTAAAACAGAGATGAGTGCTCATATTTTAGCTTGAAAGAAACTGCATTGATAACCATTTTTTAATAAAAATTTCTTAAATCTACGACTGTCGATAAAAAGGTTCAATTATACTTAGAGCTTACAAAAGTAGTGTTGGCTCTAAATAAAAGTCTACAGAATAGATTTATTTTTCAGCAAATATTTGATCTATGATCATAAAAATCCCTTCAGCGTAGACACAATACCTCAATCGAATGATTAGAAGCGTTTTGCTTAATAAATCCTATCCTTTAAATAGAACTTCAGAGAATATTATAATACACGCGACTCGTGAAATAATGTGTAGAATATCATAAATATAATACATCCTGCTTCAGTAAAATAAAATCATCTATATGAACATATTCTTAGATATTCTTTTTAAGAACTTTGATATTTTCAAGTATTAATTGATAATCTTTCATTTCGTTGATAAAAAGTGTTGGACAGAAATCTGTATAATACTAGTGATTAGTCGTTCATGCTATTTCTATGTTTTTCGCCTGTTTGCTCTAACAAAAGATACTAAAGAATGTTTTCGTGATACTTTATTACATTGAATTTCATTCGATACATGCTTTTCACGTGATGATCATTTGTTTCGAATCATCTTAGCCTCTTCATGACTGATAAATATAGAACTCATCCTTTTCTATGAATTAATGAGTTCATTGCATTATTGTTTTTGCTGTCGATATTCAACAAAATTTAATCGCTAAAGATCGATCCTAATCAATGTTTAGAGTATTGTAGATGAGCCAATGAAGTTTTTAATCAATGATTATTTGAAAAGAACCTTCACTAAACTTGTTAAAGTGTGTTGATCTTATGTAAATGATCATAGCAATTCGCTCAAATATGTCCTTAAGTAAAACCTTTATTACCAATATTCAATAGAATTTTTTCCACAGATGCCATTACTTTTTTTTGCAGTAGTGTTAAATTTGAAACAGGACTTCAATTAATCAAGATCTCTTGAGATATTTCACTATTCGGGTATTTGAGAGACACATTCTGTATGTGCCTTTCTGTGACGACTTCAAAATACCTAAATATTTGTGTTTAATAATTGATTTTTAATTTCAAATATGATATATATTTACATTCGATACGTCTCAAGCATCTGTACTCTGCTATCTCAATTCATCAGAATAAAACTATATTACAATGATTGTACACTCGTTTAAATTTTATTCTAATAAATAAAAGATAGTTCAGAGCAGAAAATATTTATTAAAGATTTGTGTCAATAAATAAACGACACATGAAAAATAAAATGTAAATAACAAAGCATAATTCTTACTTTTAGAAAGAATAATCAAGTAACTCTTTATAAATATCAATATAACGATAAATTTTATGTTCTCTGTCTTAGTTATCACGTCACTAAAATAAAAGAATATGTTTTATAATGTACAATAAATTACTTTTTATGATATTTTATTTGCTAGGAATGATGGTAATGAAGTTGGTGGTAGTGTTTATCAACGTGTCAATGATCGACTTGAAACTGGTGTACAGTTAGCTTGGACAGCCGGTTCAAATCAAACACGATTTGCACTTGCATCAAAATATCAACTTGATTCTCAAACTGTAGTTGGTGCAAAAGTAAATAATATTTGTCAAGTTGGTCTTTCCTTTCAACAACTTTTACGACCAGGTATAGAATTTTGTCTTTTCTATTAAATTTTTCTATATAATTTAATTGATTAGGTGTCAAATTGACTTTATCAGCATTGTTTGAAGCTCGTAATTTGAATGCTGGTGGGCATAAAGTTGGTTTTGGGCTTGAACTTGATGCATAAATGTACAACCCATTCATTGACATTTTTTTCCAATGAGACTGTTGTTCTTTGTCCTTTTAATTACCATTCTGTGTAGGTGATCGAACTTTTCTCAATAGGCTATTTTTTAGTCGCAATGGAAAAACATTCATCATTGTTCTCCTGTTCTTTTTTTTTATAACGTACATTCATTTGTCTCGTTTGTTTTCTAAAAAAAACAATAAAAAGACATCGAAAAAAGAAAACAATTGTATACAATAAAGTTACATGATCAATTCATAGATAATCAATGGAATAGAAATATAAAACCTCTATAAGATATGCCTTATCCAGACCGATCAGAAACACTCTTTCTTGGAAAAATTTTAATTTAATTTTTTTGTAATCTTTAAGTATTCAGTCGAAATTACTTTTTGACTGTACAAGGTGATCTTGTTCTTTTCTGCCACAATTTTTAATCAGAGATAAATCAACACATGTTGACATGACTTGATGTTATTAGTTCTTATTACAAAAGCAGTGAGATGATATATCAAGTACTGCTGTTATTGTCTAATATAATTTTTTTTCTTTTAGGAATGCATCGTTTGTCCATTTTCTTTTTTATGTGTCCCATGATTGTTTATCACAATCCGACACACATCACACATTTTTTTTCTTCATTCTGCTCGTGAGTGATAGAATATATGTTGCTCATATTGTATAGATTGTTATTGATCATGAGACGAAAAATAAGCGCTTACTGCTGAGAATAAGGAGATGCTCATATGGAAATTTTTTGCTATATTGGTAAGTCAAACGAAACTTAAACAAAAAGAGGAGCAACGATTAGTAGGCCATC